GGGGTGATTTCTCTCTCTCTGTCTCTCTGTCTTTCTGGCAAGCACACATGCCCTATAGCAAAAACCTCTCCAAAAAAAGGAAAAAAAAAAAAAATGTTCTCTAGTTTAGCGGCCTTTACCCTAAGTGCCACTGGGAGGCAGTATTGCCATTCATTTTATCTCTTGCAACTTGGTCCACTTGGGTGCAAAAATCACTTTTTCCTTCAAAACTTGCAGTACCTAGCTCTAATATTATCTTTAGCCTTTTTGGCTGTATCTATCAGCTTCAAGTTTTCCTCCCCAAGTTCTTTGCAGACTTGGATACTTGCCTCATAGACATTTCTTCCAGTTCAACTCCTATTTTTATTCTATTTTAGATGTTTTTAGCATCTAAGAGGATGATCTGTTCTGTGAAAGTATGGTTTATTCAGTTGTTCTTTAACTTACATATTTATTTTACAAATAGTTTATGAATATGTATATTAGGCACTTGGGTAGGCTCTGGGGAGAAAAAAAAATGATGTGGTTTTTGTGTTTAATACAGTTATGGTCTGGGCCAGCAGGCCTCGTGGTGGTTAAGGTACTGGACTTCCACGTGGCTGACTCTTGGAACTGGCAGCTTGGTTTCTCACTTTTACTCTCTCTGGTGAATTTAAAAAAAAAAATAAGTAAAATAAAAAATGCTTTTAAAAAAGAGAAAGTTATGGTATAGAAAGAGCAGTGAGAACAAATTTTAAAAAAATAAGATGAAGTGGGTCCAGCAGTTAGCATAATGGCTATGTTGCTGGACTCCCATGTAGTCGACCGTGGTTCACGTCCCAGACCTGGTGGCTTAAAACTCATGCTGGGCGCATGTGCGTGCGTGCCCAAGATCCGGAGAGGAGAATGGAGGAGAAGGGATTGCAGTGTGGCCATCCTCCTTGGGGGGTGATTTCTCGCTTTCTGTCTCTCTGTCTCTCTGGCGAGCGCATGCGCCCTATAGCAAAAACCTCTCAACAAAACAAAAAAAAATTCATTTGTCTGTATGTCATTGAATTTATTTCTGGATTCTCTATTCTATTCCATTTGTGTATGTGTCTGTTTTTGTGCCAGCACCATGCTGTTTTGGTTATTATGGCTTCATAACATATTTTGAAGTCAGATAGTGAGATACCTCCAATTTTACTCTTTTTGCACAGAATTGCTTTGGTGATCCGTTTTTTTTGTGATTCCAGACAAATTTTAAGATTTTTTTTCTATTCTTGTGAAGAATGTAGTTAATCTTTTGATAGAAATTATGTTGAATTTGTAGATCACTTTGGGTAATATTGATGATTTAACTATAATGATTCTTCTAATCTATGAACAAGGAATGTCTTTTTTTTTGGTATCTTTTTCCATTTCTTTAAGAGTTTTTTTTTTTTTTTTAAAGAGTTTTTCGCTATAGGGCATGTGCAGTCTCCAGAAAGACAAAGACAGACAGACAAAAAGCAAGAAATCATCCCCCAGGGGGGATAGCCACACTGCACGCCCTTCTCCTCCATTCTCCTCTCAGGATCTTGGGCACGCACGCACACACGCCTGGTGTGATTTTAAGCTACCAGGTCTGGGACTCAAACTGCTGTCGACTACATGGGAGTCCAGCAATGTAGCCCATTATGCCATCTGCTAGTCCCTCCATTTCTTTTTTTTTTTTTAAATATAATAATTTTTCCCTATAGAGTTGTTTTACTTTCTTGGTTGGATTTATTTCAAAGTATTTTATTTTATTCGTGGCTATTGTGAAATGGGATTACTTTTTCATTTCTGTCTAAGTTTGTTCATTGCGAGTGCACAAAAGCGTAACAGGTCTTTGCATGTTGACTTTTAAAAAAATATTTAATTTTTTATTAATTATTATTATTATTTTATTTGACCAGAGAGAGAGAGAGAGAGAGAGAGAGGAAGTGAGAGAACAAGCCACCAGGTCCAGGAATTGAACCATGGTCCGCCATGTGAAAGTCTAGCGCCCCAACCACCGTGCTATCTGCCAGCTCTTGTATGTTGATTTTGTGTTTGTGATTTTGATGAATTTGTTTATCACATCTAAGAATATTTTAGTGGGTTCCTTAGGTTTTTCTATCTATATAATCATATTATCTGCAAGTAAGGACAATTTAACTTCTTCCTTTTCAATTTGGATGCTATTTATTTTATTCTTTTTTTTTTTTTTTGAGTGAGATTTTTGCTGTAGGGCACATACACTTGCCAGAGAGCCAGAGAGACAGAAAGCAAGAAATCATCCTCCAGGGGGATGGCCATGTTGCAATCCCTTCTCCTCCATTCTCCTCTTGGGATTTTGGGAATGTATGCACACACACCCAGCGTGAGTTTTAAGCCACTAGGTCTGGGATTTGACCTGCAGTCGACTACATGGGAGTCCAGTGATGTAACCATTACATCATCTGCTGGTCCCTATTTCATTTTCTAATGTGATTGCATTAGCTGAATTAGAATTTCAGTACTATGTTGAATAGGCGAGGAGAGAGTGGACATCTCTGTCTTGTTCCAGTTTTTTTTTTTTTTTAAGAGAGGTTTTCGCTATAGGGCGCGTGCGCTCGCCAGCCAGACTGAGAGAGACATAGAGACAGAAAGCGAGAAATCACCCCCAGGGGGGATGGTCACGCCGCAATCCCTTCTCCTCCATTCTCCTCTCGGGATCTTGGGCACGCACGCACATGCGCCTGGTGTGAGTTTTAAGCCACCGGGTCTGGGACGCGAACCGCAGCTGACTACGTGGGAGTCCAGCGACATAGCCATTACACTAACTGCTGGTTCCCTGTCTTGTTCCAGTTTTAAGTGGAAAAGCTTTCACTCCCCCCCCCATTTGTTATTGTTAGTTGTGGGTTTATTATACATGGTCTTTATTGTTTCAGAAAATGTGCCTTCCATGCTTATTTTGTTGAGTTTTAATCATAAAGAGATGTTGTAGCCTGTCAAGTGCCTTTTCTGTGTTCATTGATACTATTGTATGGTTTTC